GGGTATTTACAAATATTTTACTAATATTATTATTAATATTCCAGATAAAATTATAAAAATGTATTTATTCTGTCTTTACAGTTAACAATAAAATGTACGAAATCGGGACTAAAGACCGAGGCCGTCTCTCAACTTTATACAGTAGAAACCAATTTGTAAATTTAACTACGAGAGACAGCACGATAGGGGTGGTCAGGGCTATGAACGATGTATGTATGTACAAAAATGTACAACGCGAAAGTGAAAGTGAAAGTGCAAAGCAGCAGTGACTATGTACATCAAAATGCCACGGAAGCAGTACATGCAACAATAAGCGATAATAAAAATGGAAAAAATAATTATATTTTCTAAAATATAAATATATGTCATTATTCATTATAACATATTGCACGTATATCATCCATTATCTATATAGCCCAATTGTATACTTTGCTCGTAACATATACAACGAAAAGTCCATGAACACCCAAGTACAATATCTATATACAATTACTATGTATAGGTGATTTTATACTATATAGTATAGGTTCAAGTTACTGGACTTTTTTGACTTTATTCTCTACCTATGAGGTAGAATACCATAAAGGTACAAGAGTTAAATTAAATAGGGTTACTTATTATAAATTTAGACCACTATCACAACTTTCAAAATTATTTTCAATAAATATATTATATAGTTTAAAAAAGAAAGACTTCTTATTAGTGTTGTAGAAATTAAGCCAAATAGCTGCCTAAAGGCCAATACTAAATTGTTAATATATTTTATATTTATACACCTAAAAATTAAAACCAATTTAACATATAACTGCTTTTTAATTATACATCCATTGATTAATTTATATTTAATAAATGTGATAACTATAAAATAATCTACTACGATGAAATAATTTGTTTTTATGATATTTTAATAAATTCAATTTATTTACCTTAAGGGTCACCACATACGGCAGCGGTGGGGTTAAAATTAGCATTGGCACAATTTACCGTCACACCAAAAATATTTTACTGCCACCGCTGTAGTGTGTGGGGACCTTAAGTAAAATATATTACTCAGAGTAGTCAAATTAATTTTGAGTAAACTTACAGTTTTAGGCAAAGTAATGTCTTCGTCATTTTCTGACAGTACTTGATTTTTTGATACAAATGAATATGGCACATCAAACTCATCTTCGTCATCAGGTTTTTCATTCCATTGTCTATCTTCATCCTCAACTTCCTAAAAAAAAAACAATAATAAGAAATAAAATAAAATGTTGGTAATTTGATTAAATAAAAAAATAAATATTAAACTTTATTGTTATGTTTTACTTTTACTTTTATGTTTTGTTTCGTAAGATAAAAAGTTATTGAAAACCTAATTAATGTGAATAAATTATAATTACAGTAGGTATTGTGATATCGTCACTGTGATCGGTTTGAATGCACTGAACACTATTGTTATCTGCAAGCACCACATCCATACTGACAGTTTCATTTCTTCGGAAAGTATAAGATACATTTGTATCTTCCTCTTCATAATATTGTTCATCATATTCATCTTCATAATCTGGACACTCAGATTTTATACTAATATCATTTGGATATGGTATAGATTCATACACAGAATCATGTTCATATTCATCCTCTTCCATCATTTCAGGCTTAACTACTCTCGATACATTAATTGGAGGAGGATCATATTCATCAATATTTTCCTAAAAAATAGTATAAATTATTGCAAAAATTAAATAATAATAACTAACCCAACATTTATAAAATTAAGTAATATTTACTTCTACAGGTTCTCTCTTGATTTTTTTCCGTAAACTTTGTATGTCAAATTCATTCATCTCATTTGGCTAAAAAATTAGATGATGTAATTTTAATTTTAATATATTTTAACAGTTTTAATATTCATCCAAAAAATAAAAACTTACTAATTTATCAACCTGTCCAGGTGGATTTACATTTCCTTTACCACGTCTAAATCTTAACACAACTGATCGGCTATCAATAACCAAATTATATTTTTCTTTATACGCTTGTATCGCATCTTCCGCATTAGAAAATTTAATAAATGCATATCTAATAGAAAATTGAATTTTTGAATAATTTATTACTTAGACTAGTGGCGTACATATGGTATAGGCAAGGGTATGGAAGTATTACCCCTTTCCATAAGAAAATTTAATATATTTTTTGAGCATTAAATAAGAAAAAAATAATAACTAAAACATTAAGGCAAATATTGTTTTTGAACAAAAATATTTGGTATTAAAATGTAGATTAAGTATTTTATGAAAATGTAATACACAGTAAAATGTATCAGAATCTGCTATTTTTGAAAGTTTTTCAATGTCTTTGGTACATACGGGAACATATCATTAATTTTTTTTAAATATTTGATAGGGGTCTAAGAAATTATTTCATATAATTTTGTCCCAAAAAAAGTAAATATGCCACTAGCTTATATATACAAAATATATTTTACTTGAATAGTATTAATAGAGTTTAGAAATTACCTTGTGTACTTCATTTTTTTAGCAAACCCAATGTCAACTCGAGTGGCTTTTGGAAATTCATCTTTAACGGCATTAGATGTGATATTTGTTGGCAAATTTCCAAGATATAATCTGAAGTAATTAATAATTTTATGATCCATAGTATAGTAATAATTATATTTAATATCAATATTAATTTGTGTGCATGACTTTTAGAAGTTGTATAAAAAGAACTTTTAAAATAAACATACATAGGTACACAAACAGTTAGGTATAGTAAAGTATTATATAACATACTTACTATGCATATTTTATTTTAAAGTATAAAAACATGATTATTTTACAAATGTAAATGTAATATTAATCAACTACCTATACAACAAATCTGTACTTTACTTAAGCTAAACACATTTTCAAATAATTTCAAATTTAATAGAAATAATATAGTTTTTATATAAATCTGGAACTAATGACACTTACGTATACGGATCAATGCACTCAGGGAATGCCTTTTCTTCAAACTGACTTTCTTTGATTTCTACCCTCAATTTTTCATGTTGGAAAAAAGTTTCATTTAGTGCATTTGCAACATTTTCAATATTTGCACTTGGTTGTACTTGCACATAACAATACCTAAAATAAAATTTAAAAAAATAGTTATTATTGTAAGTTTTTACTAAATAAATGTATTACTTTTGAAATTAAAATGGAAAAATTTAATTTAATTGATGATTGCTGTTCAAGTTACTTACCTTGGATTACATGGTGTATGGAAATGTACAGATTTGATATCAGTATGAAAGTTCTGAACAATTTGCCGCGTAATTTCATGATCTGGAAATCTGATCATGATTTGTTGATTGTTTTTAGGTGTCCGAAGTTCCATCTCGGCAGCGATTGCTTTTACAGCATCTTCGCGATTCCATGGTTTTTGAGCACGCTGCGGTTCTCCAGATTGTTGGGATTTTAATTTGCGCTTACGTGTTTTGCATTCAGTCACAGCATTTGTTTCCTAAATTTTACAATGAATTAAGTAATAACTTATTAAAACTTTAATAATTATAAATATTCTATTAAAGTAAATCATTGATTTATAGAAAAATTTTCAAATAGATAATAATGTTGAAGGTAAAAGCTATTTAAAAGAATAAATAATTATCTCAAACCTGATTAGTTCCATTTGATTGATTTTGAACGGAGCTACGAGGTCTGTTCATACGCATATGTTGTCTTGGTATAAACCGAGGTCTTTGATTAAATTGAGGCCAATTTTGTGTTGACGATGATGATGGTGTTTGTGGATTTTGTGGAGAATTAGCAAAGAAATTCCCATTCTGTAAAAGATAATAAGTAGGTAACAGTAATAACATATAAAATACATATTATAATAAAATTCCCAGTAACATACAGCATTTTGAGAGAACTGTCTTGGATAATTGTTTCTTGGAGTATTCCCATACTGATAAGGTGTTCGTTGACGTGCACTGTTGTTGAACGACCTCCAGCGTGGCAAAGGTGATCTTATAGTACTGCTACTAGGTGAACTGAACGTGGGAGGATTGTTATTACATGTTGTAGTATTTGTAACAGTAGTTTTGGCCTGTGGAGCAGGACTGGGCATACGGAACTGTGTTTGCCATGAATTGGGAAAAGCTTGTGGCCAGAACCCATGGGGATGTGTTGGTGGTGGTGACGTGAAATCCGTCTGCAAGTGTATTTGGTTATTGTGTGGTGGTGGCTGTTGTGCCACATAACCAGGCAGAACTTGTCTCGGCGGACTTACTATAGCCGCTTTATCAATCGACTGGTTTTCCACTAAAAAAACAAAAGAGATGCATATTAAATTTCTGTACATATGAGTTTTTCACCGTGTTTCAGGTGCAGTATGTATGATGCTCACTCGTTGTAGCTTGTCAAACGTTTATCGTAGACATTACAACGATTCGTACAGGTACAAGACCAACAAAGACATCGAAATAGGTCAGTTTTAAACGTACTGCGTTAGTGCGTTTCAAAAACTGAAAAAGTAAGAAGATAAATCGATAAATTGGTACCAAGTAGTAAGTACCTACAGACTACAGAGTACACATACATATAATATACATACAACACCAATTACAATAACACAAGTTTCTTTGGAGCAGCTTGTCAGTAAGTTGTCACTCCTACTGGCAGACTGTGGAAAACTATGATAACAGGCCATGTTTTGAGAAACAATCCGGCAACGGCGCAATTTCATTTTTGTTGTGTTGATAGCGTTCTTTGATGATAAAAAAAAAGAAGCATTTTGTTTACGTTTAACTTTTTTTTAATTTTTTACTCTTTCATTTTTTCGTTTACCAACGTATACATTAATTTTGTTTTTCGACGGTTTGAGTTATGTACGATACCAGTACACCGTAATTCACTCTGTGACGTTTCACAGGCTTCAATGAATGTGGCGGACCCGCCGTGTCTTGTCTGTACGAAAGTGACCGAAATACTTATGTTTTAGTCTACCCAATTCGCCGGCCCGTTATAATGGACTTGGTATACTCAATATTTCGAAAACAAGCTTGGAAAACACAATTCCAAAATGAACAGATGGAGGAAGATATGTGTTTCAAATGTCTGGCCAAGATCTCTGCCAATAATATCGTTGCCTGGGTAACCACATTCGATCTAGACGACCATGTTAACATAAACTGGGGTTCACACGTTTACATAGCCGATCTCAACGTGCCGTGGAAGTACCATAAAATCACATCAAATAATTGTACTGTCACGACTCTAGAATGGGATATGTATGGATATTCACTGTTAATCGGGGATAAAAATGGAGCTGTATCAATATGGACTTGCAGTACCGACCACAACCTTACCAACTGGGTACAGGTTGGTTCTAAAGATTTCCGAGGCGAACCTATTATAGCCGGCACGTTTTTCCATTTGGGGAAAAAATTAATGCTTGTTAATGAAAAAGCAGATAATATTAACTATTTTGAAAAATTTAACTATGTCAGGTTTACACCATCTTTAAGAACATGGGGTGGCACAGGATTGCCAGGATGTTTAGTTGTGTCTGCCACAGGTATGATTGCTGCTCTGTTAACTAATGACAGTGGGGAGCCCATGATTTCAGCTACAAACAGTTTGGCTGTTGCTAGATATCGTATATCTGTTGTTGACATCAGTTATCGACAAAATGGAAATTTTTTGATTGTCACATCTGATGGACGGCCACGATCACCAATACATTGTTATGAAGTCTCAATAAAGCTTGTTAATGAAAAAAGTTGTACTATAGTATCACAGTGGCTGCCTAGCTTTTTCTTAACATTTAACGAAACAGTCGATAGAGTTATTTCGCATGTGAAATTTTTACTGCGAGAAGGTTCAGAATCCCTTGTAATTGGAAGTAATAGCAGTAATGGATGTATTATAGAAACATGGGAATTAGTTAAAAAAACTAATTCAATTAATAAAGTATTTAAAAAAGTCATTACTGAAGACCATCCAACAGTGTGTTGGATTAAAAAAAGCTCATTTACTGTTGGAGCTCAATTAACAGCATTGGCTACACCCAAAATGTCTATATCCTACAATCAATCTTCTTGCAGTCAATATGTAGTGGCTGCATTTAGTAATCATCAAGTATGCTGTTTATCCAGAGAACTAACTCAACAATGTTTGTTTGAATTGAGCAGCTATTGCGAAGATAACATTGGAAAAATTGGCTTACAACATAGTAGCAATATTCAATTTTCAGACTTAGATATTTCTTACTTAGGAAATGTGTTTGTTGTTTGCGATAACATGGGTAATTTATATTTATTTCAACTACTTTCTGTGGCAGAACTGAATGGGCCGCTAACTGTCGCCTATGCCACATTACAACTTGAATATTGCTTGGTGACTGGTCTAGATTGGTGGGATTTGGCTATATCATTAAGACCTAACATGTTAGAGGCCGTGTGCAATCGATTTAGTGAAAACTTCCAAAAACAATCTCAGGTACTTCAACAAAAAGAGTACACTACCTATTTGAGTATTCGTTCTTTTCTTTACAAAATGATGCCGGGAGCACAAGGAAAGCGTTCTGACCTTATGCATTTAATGACGCTACATTCCATATGTAATGCATTCAAAAATGTTTTACGTGTCAGTGACATCATGGTTGATCGGGATCCAGCCGAGAATATATCAAATGCACTTAAAGAACCTATTGTGGACATAGACAAAATTTTACCAAGTTTGGGTGGTAAGGATTTTACTGTAGAACCTAGCACTCTTCAATCACTCCATCAACTCATTCAATGGGTAGCACAGCTTGCTTTAAATGTAGTTTCCAGAATACCAGAGCCACGGGACAATGTTGGATATAACTTATTAAATGATTTGTATGCCATAAATTCAATAAGAGAGCTATTATTAATGATTCGTATATGGGGTCTGTTGAGGCCTAATTGTTTACCTGTCTTTATTAAAAATATCGACAATTTAGACGTTTTATCAGTTACATTCCGTTTACTTTCCCGATTTGTTCAACTAGGTGGTGACCATGATGAAATGTTGTTTGATGAATGCTATACACTTCAAAGCCAGGTCAATATAACTCCACTTTCATCAGTCGCAGCAGGAATTCATGAAGTTGCATCTCCTGCTCTTTACTACCAACATTTACCATTGAAGTTGGTGTTTGGACAAGAACCGGATTGTTTGAGATATAATACATCTTCCATTGATACAATAACAAATGGGAAACAACATTCAGACTACATGAAAGATTACGATGTTATTAGAAATGTATACATTGGTAAATGTCCACTAACTGTGAAGCAGTGTAATAGATGTGAAGGTAAAATGCAGTTGGTAGGAAATTCGAGAACAGCAGCAATTAGAGTGTGGGAAAATAGGTGGGCAAGAAATTGCAGATGTGGTGGTAGGTGGAGGACAGTCAAGGTAGGTGGGCAGTAGCCAGTAAGTTTAATAATAGACTATCACATTATTAATAAAACCTAAAATTCAGTATATTTAACAATAAACTTCAATTTTAAACTATCTTAGGCGATTGTGACTCCATTGTAATATGTTTATAGTTTGATGTTGACTAACTCAAACTGTCAAATGACTTATTCAGTTATCATTATTTATCTGGTTTGTGTCCACGAAAAATCATTTAATTATACTAGTTTAAATGACTATCACTTTATCAATTAGGTAAATCTGTTTATATAAAATTTATTATTTAATTATATTTTGTTAAATTGTCTATTATACCGTGTATTTGATAATACGTAATAAATCAAATTGTATTCTTATACCAAACAGATGATATCGCCAAGTTCAAGAAGTTTTTTTTATACAACCATTAGTATAAAATAATCTTCCAGATTATATTTTGATCTCTGAAAATGTTAGTTAAATATAATTAATTTTAGAATAGTTCAATGATGTATTTACTATTATAATATCTTATGATGATTAATTAATCGTTCATACAAAAACATATGATTACTTGAAGTAACAAATGAAAGTTTCTTATGTATATATATAAGTATATTCTAATTTATAAACAAATCAATAGTACTGTACATAGCTGCTGGAAAATAATTAATTATGCTAAATTGTATGTACACATTTATAATATGTTCAACTGTCTTTTTTTTTGTTATGTATTTTTGTTTGTAAATTATTTGAAAAAAAAAAACCTTGTTTGTTTATTTTATTTAAACAACTATTTAATAAATGTAACATACATTACAATGTTTCTATCAATTTTTGGGTATTTCATTTTTAGACTCATTATTAAGGTCATTAGTGATTTCAGTTTTTGAAGTTTGTCCTGAATAGTCTGTAGCCAAATACGTCATTAAATCTGTCAATCCTTCAAATTCTGTACGTGAATTGTGAACAGTTGGAGTAAGCCTTGGAAGAATTGAACCTATTTTTAATCTAAATTCGTGCATCTGTAAAATTAAAATACAATCATATTATAGTATATATTATGTTTGTATGATGGTGTTTAAACTGTTTGAAATTCACGGATACATGCTTTCTTACTGATAGTTTGAGTTAGTTTTTTTATAAGTAAATTTAAAACTATCCATGGATCTAAAACCATATAAACTAATAGATAGATATATTAAAAAGGTAATTCTATAATTAAATTTATAATTGTTAATAATACTTTACTGATAACCAAATTTAAAGGCCATATTATCATTATGAAAATGAGTATACCAAATGTATTATACATTAATACATAATATACTAAGAGTGTGAACACAATGTCTGGTTACGGCCACAGCGGTAATTAACCGTCCGGTTCGTCCGCAAAATGCTGCAGTTTATGACATCTGCAGCTGTTATTTTAGAATAGTATGAATAATCTATTTCATAATGATGTATTTTGATCGACCTGACAATCACTGCAGTTATAGTTCTGTGAGAAACCGGACAGTGTGTTCTCAGTCTAATACTGTGATTCAGATAGATAATAAAATTGTTCTATACTAACTGAGAAGTATATAAATGTATTAATAAACTGCAACGTATGTATGCAAGCGATACCAAGCCAAATTTTTAAAATTTTGAATTTTAAAGGGGCTACAGAGATTTGTTGGCTCATGAAAAAAACAAATAATTTTAGATTTGTATATGGTTGCCATTGCCAATAGGTTGCAGAAAATTAAATAGATATTATAAATGGTTATAATTTTAGACCTGTATTTTATATTTGGTTAAAATAACCCAAATAACTGTGTTAAAATTCTGTACAGTTTCATTTATAAAAGTAAATGGATAAATCCACAGGCATTTAATTTGTCACAAGCAATGCCTTGAAGGATTAGTTAGGTTAAAACATAGAAAAGTTTTGAATTTATATCTAATCTTTGAAAATATACAATATGAATGAGTTAATTTTATAAATTACCTAGGTGATATAGATATACATTTTTTTGTTCCTCAAGAATTTTAAATACCAAGGTTTCACTGTAATTATTGTACTACCTAAAGTATTTAGTTTTTGAAGCTTTACTTAAAATAGGTTCTACAAATATAAAAACCAAACATCAAAAGTACAAAGCTAAAAACTTTGTGTATCTATCAAAAAAAAATGGCTATTTGAATTGTTAACTAAAAATTTGAATTATTTCTCAAAACACTATGTTACCAATTAATAAATTGTATAGTTCATTTTTATATTGTTTTTTTACATAGGTAACATAAATGTATTTATACATATTATACTTCTTTTTATTTAGATAGTTTTTGATCAATTTTCACAGTAAGAATTGTTATAAAAAAATGACTGTACCTAATGGCTTTTAAAATTTGTGTGGGCCCTACCCTTTAATGATCACCCCCAGAACCAAGAGTCTGCGCACGTCTATGTTAATGGTAGATAAATATATTTTTTTTATCAGCAATTGAATTTACAAATATCAGCGGTGTTTTTAAGTGTATACCTATTGATATTTTTTCAACCTGAATCAAACATTAGTATTCAGATTGATGGCTCTCTTTTAAGAGAAAATAAGAAAATATTAAGAAATATGAAATTGTTAAAAATTGAATAGCAAAAGCTCATGTCTGAACTTTTAGCCACGTAAAATTTAGGAAATATGGTATACTTTTGTTTTAAAAATATGAATATAATCTCCGTGGAAAAAAGGTTGACTTTCTGTGGATATTGAAAATTGAATGAAAAAAGTAAAGCATTGATGGCACAGAACATACTTTAAGTATAAACTTAGTTGTCTTAATTATATTGTTATACTATATAAAGTGCTACAGTATATGTTTCTTTTTAATTTTTATACAATATGTATAATGCACCATTTGCTTAACTATAATAGTGATTACTAAAAAAGATACTTGCATCATTAGCACCGCTCATTTTCCAAACACCATAAAAAAACAGTCCACAGCCGCCAACAGCGTAGAATGTTCCCCATTTTAGTGCTCTAATGGCCAACTGTACACCTGATTCAGTAGTGGGTAATGAAGGAGCTTGTCCTTTGGAAAACATGGTGGGATCTGTTTTTCTAGCTGATGCCAGAGTTGACGCAAACGCGAATATACCCGCACCAGCCGCAACACATGTTAAAAATGCGGCAGATGCTAAAATTGACATAATATAGTTTAAATAAGTTTATTAATGTAATTAAATAATAATAATAAGAATACCTATAGTATCACTTGATGTTTTTGCGACCACCGGTAATTTAGTTTTCTCATTTTCTTCTGTACTTATATCACCATTAAAAAGCGTATTCACTATTTAAGAAATTTACTTATAAGAAAAACGAATGAAAAATCAAAATAACATAATAGAAGTAATTCAAAAACCTAAATCCAAATACTTAAAAGCACAAAATAATCATTCATAGTCCATAGGTAATAGCTAAAACCGGCATTTTTGAACAAGTTATTATCATTTATCATGATTCATAGTATAAAACACTATCTATAGCCGTGGTATAAAATGAAAAATAATAATAATACTTTATTATTTTAACTCACGGCTAAGATATTATAATGAAGTTGAAACTGGAAACGAGCAGCTTATCAGTTATCACGGCCACGAATATGTATGTACAAGAGGCAAAGGGGGGGGGGGGTCGCAAAGTGTTCCTAGAGTTTACAGCGCCCTTTATATAAAACACGGACTAAGATACAAATTGTGGAGTCAAATAAAACCACCGGTAGCGCTGAAAACTTCAAGAACAGTATTCTTATCAGCTTAGTGACACCTTTTCGTGGCCGTCCCCCGGCCCCTGCCGACTATGTCGTTTCCCGACAATTCCGGTTAACCGACACTTTACCGGACATTGTAAGAACGGCCCTTAGTCCGTGTTATTAACTTATCAATTTGGTGACAATAATTTTATATTGAATATAACATGACAAGTTCTTATTTGTCAAGATAAATAATAAATCCCAAAGAATTGTTGAAATTTATTGTATCCATCGATAATAAAGATCTTTATTATATATGAATATATGATTGTATATTGTATATTTATATTTTTTTGTGGTTGTATCATGGAGTAATAATTACTTATTAAAGACAGTTTTTTACAGTGCTATTACATTTATTTATATACTCTATAGAAGTCTATACTCATGTTATAAGTTTTAAACTTGAGTTATTGTTATGACCACAGTGATACAGAATACAGTATTAGGCAGTAATTCAGTACCTATCCATTTTCCTTTTAATTATTAAACTATATTTAGACATTACAGTAGAACCATTTGTTTTATAATATTATAATATAGGGTTATAATAATCAAGCTCCTGGTTTAATTTTTTTTTAATTTTTTAGTTCCAAATGATCCAAATTCTACTCTACAAATCTTTACCCCATTAAAGTAGGCAAATGTGTATACAGAAACGTCAGTGATATTGACACCTGTAGGGGCCACAACAAGAATAATACATTTTAGATTCTGAGGAAACAATGAATGTTTTGGTTTTATAATGTTTTTTTATATCTAAAGAAACTTTTTATCTTAAAAAATTCTTTTATCTACATTATTAAGGGTTGTATGTGTTGTAGGTGATAGAAAACAGTATGTCGTTTGTGTTTAGTAGATATGAAGGGGAGGGGATAATCATTTTTGGCTGTTTTTGAAATATTTAGGTATTTGATAATTGTAGATAATATTTTAGATTCTGAGAGGACTGATAAAGGTATTGATTTTGCAATAGTGTGTTTATTTTTTTATTTTTGTGTGTGTACATGATAAATGTTGAGTTGTCAAAATAATGCTTCGATTTTCAACTTTAGTATGACAGTATCTTGTTTGATGGGAAAGTGAATGTTTGTGCATTCGGGAGGTCAAAATTAAAATTCCCAATATTTAAAAAGCACCAGGTAAAATAAAAAAAAATAAGAGAAAACGGGAATTTCTAAGCAAAATCGGGTTTCGGCAAATCGATTTTGGTTTTTAGGTGTAACTCTAAAAAAAATTACCATAGATACTTGAAATTTGTACTGAATGTTTATATTAGCATTTTCTATACACCATAACATTTTCAAAATATTTTGACTTGTTTAAGGACATTTTCAGTTTCCAATTTTATTAGTTTTTTTCTATAAATGATAATACATTTTTCTTTGTGCGGTCAAAAAGCTTGACAATTTAATACAAGGTTCCATATTTATTGTTACAGTAGCAGTTAAAATATATTATACATACAAGGGTAAGATTTTTTTTATAAGCTTTTAAAGTTCAAATTTTGACAACATTTACTAGCTAAGGATTAAAAATGTAATACAATAGGTTCCACGTAAGTAGTTAATTCTGTTAACAAAAAATCAAAAAAATATATAAACACAGTTTTTTTGTAGTTATTTTCTTGTAATTTAAAAATCGTATTCGTGGGTACTTGCAAGTTGAAACAAATATGATATAAATACTTATACATAAATATGATTTTATGCACATTGCACATAATATTAATTCATCTTACTGGCTACCGTACTAATAAAAACAATATAAGTATAATATAAAATATCCTAAAGGCTGACAAACCGTTTCCGCTCAGAATCGTTTTTCGTATACAAAGAATTTAGGTATATCATTGGACTCAAATATAAATACCATCAATTACAGTGACCCACTTGTAATCTACTGTACAACAGTGAACAGAGAGACACCCGCTACCCTCTTTTTTTTGTTGACCTTGGATAAAAAGTTATAAAATATGATACAAGGTAACTCAAAAGTTTTCTTTTAAAATTCAAAAAAATATAAAATGATTTGTCACAATTTTTTTAATTGTTTGAAGTTATAATATTTTTGATAAAATTCATAAAATATAGGAAAATTTAACAATGACTTTGTAATACAAAACGTAAATAATTTTTAATTTTAACATCTAGATCTAAGTCCTGAACTATACCTCATAACTTGCGAACTACTCATAAGTAGGTACTTATAAATTGTTTGAATCAAATTTAATGTTTAGGGTAAAGCTATATTAATATTTGTATGAGTGTTTAAAGTTAACATTTTAATAAAAATAACGAACTTTTGAGAATTATTTTGTAGGTAGTGAAAAATGTATTCATTTTTCAATTGTTATAGCTAAAGACTTATAGCTATAATTTCAAATTACTTAAGGTTTGAAAATGTAGTAGATCAAACTTCTTCATAAATTTTTCTTCCAGAAAGGGTCTTAAAAATACATAAGCATAATTTTTTTTTTATTATTTCAAGATTAAATTTTGACGAAAAATAGCATTTATTCTAAAATAGATTGATCTTAGTTATTTTTTTGTTAATCTGTATTGACACTTTTCGCCATTACGATTTATTATAGGTATGTATTATTATTTTCCATACACATTACACAATAACATTTTCAAATCATTGAGACTGATCTTAAGCTATTTATACCACGAACCTATTGGCTGTTTACACCGTTACACGGATCATGATTATGGACTATTATTATATTATCTAACTATAGTTATAGTAACAATAATAATATTTGTTATACATATTATTACTATATTATATAACTAGAGCCTAGAGGCACGTAAGCCAATGTCCTTACGACCTTACGTTAATGATCACAGATTTTTTTTCTTTCAAAATAGTGTAAACACATTTACATTTTACAAAGCAAACTTAATTTATACATTCGACCATGGTTCAAGTGTTTTAAGAACTCTGAACCAAACAAATATCTTATGAAATTAGGTTTCAAAAGATAAATCTAGAACCTACTGATACTCAACAGTACCATTACACAATGTTTGCATATTATTTACGAGACGATTTTCTATTTTAACAATGAAAAAAACAAAACAAAATTACCTATTGATTAATAATATTTTTTTAATAGGTACCATAAAAAAGATTTAAAAAATTATCATTCGCTATTTTAAAAATCAACAGATTAATTTTAATAATTAATTAGAGTTCAATTTAAAGGATTTGAGAGATCCGTAGTATAATGAAGAAATTATTTAACAAAGAATACTATATTTTGCTGAACATCACAATCTCTATTTATAAATTTTGTTTTAGATTGAAACATTTTATTTGACTTATAGTTTATTTAAGTAACTTTCGCAGGTAAAAATTTATATTAATTAACAAATTTACTTAAATTTAGGATTTAATGGTTTATGATGACTTGTCTCTAAAGGTAGGTTATAATTTTGGAAATTTTTATTAATATTTGAATCAGAAAATTTTATGTGTGAATTATGAACATAGAACATAATCCAATTATCATAAATAATAATAATGTAGTGTCCTTCAGACTTTAACTAAAGTATTATAATTAAAGCTGAATATTATAATATTTTGATTATTTACACATATATTTGTTTATTCATGTTTTATGTTGTGTAGGTAAATATTTTATTAATAATACAGATATAATATTATGCAATATGGCCCAACAGTAGTCAGTAGTAGTTTTCTTGCATATACACACCTTATACAAATTAAAATATAAAATTAAAATGATGTATTATATAAAAGCCTATCGGTATAATATATTTTATGTATTTAAGCCTATGTAAATAAGATAGTAATTTTTGGTTTTACCTGTCTCCACAGTCCACAAGCATATATTTTTACGAGGATAGAGAGTATTTAACATGTTGCATAAAGCTATAAAATATACAGGAGGTCACTAAAATACTATAATATCATAATATTATATAGGAAGGGCTTTACATGATTCACTAAAGCTGGAAGTTGAAATATTTAACACTTTGTCTTGTTTCTAGGAATCAGGATTGGACAAATTAAAGAGGATGTCGGCTTACTATTCGTTTTCTCTCTCTGGCCCACGCGCAACATAGACAAAACGCATTACGCAAAATCATTTTTTCTATGATGCGTTTAAGTAATCTTAGAGTAAAGTCAACTATTACAAAAAAGATAGAGAATAATATTTTTGAGGGAATGACATATCGATTTTATATTTTATTATTATTTGACTTTCAAAATAAACAAAAAAATGTTGTAAATTTAAATTATGTTTAAACTGTTTTGAGACAATATTTAAACAAATCGATAGGTCATTCCCTCAAAAATATTATTCTCTATCTTTTTAGTAATGGGTTAATTTACTCTTAGGACTAAGATTACTTAAACACATAG